CCCCAAAACCCCAAAACCCCAAAACCCCAAAACCCCAAAACCCCAGTTGGTTGCAAAATTATTGCAAAATATTATTCCTTCACCAAGATGCTAATCTTCCGCAGAATGTGGAATTGTACCTGTCCTCATAAAGAGCACTGCTACCAATTCCTTAGATGCATACATCTGTGTCTGCTTAGTGTGTGGAATCACATTATATACTAACTATGAAACTTATTTGATACCGGAATAGGAAGTTATCAAGTAGACTCTCAAATCAGGTAAGAAAATTATAATGAGAGATTCTGTTCATAATATCTCAAATCTCAACAATTAAATAAACCAGATTTGATCATTTACCTATGAATTTGAGGAATCTGAGAACCTGATATATATATTTTCAAACAAATCTGGCGCTAACTTAAATACTACTATAAATCATAATAAAATTTTCTGTTATTTAACCAAACTGCCTCAAACTCTTCTGCTCGCAATCTTTTCAGATTGATGACGAAATTTCTAAAATATTAGTCTGAGTATGCTCGTTGATAACTTCTTTGGAGCTGGAAGTTATTCTCAAACTTTTATTTCATTTGTAGTCATAGCATATTTACGAATAATCCAGATTTATTATCGGAAGAGTAGAGGATTTTAAAAGTTTTTGTTTATTTTAGAATAACTTTAAGTCATAAAGAAGGTCTAAATGTGACAAATCTAAAATAATGTTTGTATCTAAAACTCTTCTTTTCATAACAGTCTAGTTACAGAAAAATGTTAATGTTTTCAGAGATCTACAGCTGTGTCGAATCGTCCATCATCTTTTAGAAGTGTTCGAGTAGTTAGTATAGTTTATGAACACTTGACTAAAATTGATGTTTTTAAGAATTAACACAAGTGGATAGTCTGGAGTCAAAAATTATTCCTTTACTTGAGAAATTCATCAAGAAGCATCAAGCTCTCCAAAAGAAACTAGTCTTGGTTAAGAACAAAGGACTATACATCTTATTAAATTCTTTTCATTGTGAGGCCAAACAGTCATTAAGCGATGTTTTCGAGTCAGATCTCATGAAGCATTACATCAGACAGTCCCAGTTTAGATAACTTGCTGAACCTCATGAAAGTTTCGGAAGTCTCTCAACTAAGAATGCAGCTGAGAAAGTTAAAATTTAAGTTCTGAGAATTATAGTTATTTATACTGATATTCAAAAGCTTAAGAACAACTTTCTAAAGTTGAATGCCTTCATGACGATACTCAAGACAAGTTCGGATCTTTGGAGCAAAATAAACTTGACTTTGAATCCTCAATCGAAACAATGATCCAGAGCAAGGCTGAGTGTGACCAAAAGATACAAGAGAAGGAACAGGAGTTAGCAGAGTTTTGATAGAAAATCGACTCCATTGGAGACGAGGAGATGAAGCTTAATAATCAAGCTAATTATGTTACTGATAAGTATGAGAGACTTAGAGAGCATATCTTTGAATCAAAATCTTCAATTGATTATGAAGAGTTCACAAGTACCTTCTTCACTTCAAAATGTGACAGACGAGAAATATTTCACCCAGGTTCTAACTTTCAATAAATATTGCCAATAAACTCTCCAAATTCAGCACCTGTATAAGGCAAAGAATTCTATGAGTAATATATTATCTTTAACAGAACAGAAATATGAAGAAAACATGGGTGTCAGCAATAAGCTTAGGTTTCTTAGAATCCAGCCTAAATTCACTTATCTCTTGATTAACCGTAATACATGGAATTAAGCGAATTTATTGGGAGCCCAGGCGACTCAAGAGCTTTAAATTATAATATTTCAATCAAATATTTAGAAATAGGGGTTTTGGGGTTTTGGGGTTTTGGGGAGAT